CACCAAAGGGATCCACCTGGAGAATGTGTGTATATTACTCTGACTTGAATAAAGCCTGCCCAATGGATCCCTATCCGGTGCCACAGATTGATCTCCTGGTAGATGAAACAGCTAGGTGCGAACTATTGAGTTTCATGGATGCCTTTCGGGGATATCATCAAGTTTTTATGCACCCGGATGATGCGGAGAAGACATCATTTGTCACATCAGATGGCGTATTTTGCTACATTGTGATGCCGTTCAGGTTAAAGAATGCCATGGCTACCTTCCAAAGAATGATCGGGATACTTTTCAAAGAAGTATTGGGGGTAACGATGGAGGCTTATGTTGATGACATTCTGATCAAAAGCCGGAAGAAGGAGGATCATGTCCCGGACATGGAAAAGGTGTTCGGGATAATGCAAAAGGCAAACATGAGATTGAATTCCAAGAAATGTGCCTTTGCAGTTAAGGGGGGCAAATTCTTGGGTTACATGATGAGTGAAAGGGTTATTGAGCCTAACCCAGAAAAGGTGAAGACAATCATGGATATGGATGCTCCAAGGAACCTTAAGGAGGTTCAGAGATTAACCGGCCGATTGGCAGCATTAAGCAGATTTTTGTCAAAAACTTACCGACCAAGCAATCCCATTTTTTCAGATTATGAACAAGGCAAACCCCTTTGAATGGACTGCCGAATGCCAAACAGCCTTCGAAGAGTTCAAGTTGTATTTTTCTTCTCCCCTGATCTTAATAAAAGCTGAACCAAGGGAACACCTGTTTATGTATCTTGCCGTGGCCGATCTGGCTGTAAGTTCCGTATTGCTGAAAGAAGAAGATGGCGTCCAGCGACCCATTTATTTTGTGAGTAAAGCCCTGAACGGGCCGGAGACTAGGTACATCCTAATGGAGAAAATGGTATTGTCCCTAATAGCAGCCATCAAACGGCTTGCACCCTATTTCCAGGCACATCCAATAACCGTGTATACAACTCAGCCGTTAGCTACCGTCCTGAGAAATTCAATGGCTAGCCGGTGCATTACAAAGTGGAGCCTCTTGATCGGGCAGTATGAGGTAGACTTTACACCTCGACCCACTATCAAAGGTCAAGCCTTGGAAGATTTTATAGCGTAATGTACCGCTCGGCTTTCAGAAACTGAGTCAGAGAGCAACATGATAGGTAACTGGCGGGAGATATATGTAGATGGTGCATCAAGCACAAAAGGTTGTGGGGGTGGAGCCATGATCACGTCACCCGAAGGGTTTAAAGCATACTACTCCATCCATTTTGAGTTTAAGGTAACCAACAATGAGGCCGAATATGAAGCCCTCATTGCAGGGTTAAAGTATGCAAAAGCCCTGGGTGCCGATCGGCTCAAGGTACGGTCAGATAGCCAACTAGTGGTCCACCAGGTGAATGGCACAGCCGAGGCCAAAGAAGAGAGGATGAAGGCGTACAAGGAACTGGTCGAGGAACAAATTAAAAAATTCGAACAGGTGGTACTCGACCAGGTTTCCAGAATAGAAAATCATGAGGCAGATATCTTATCCAAGTTAGAGAATGTTGCCTTCGATGATCGAGCACAGATGATCTCAACTCACATACAACGGTTTGCCCATCGGGAAACCCTGACAACATCGGCAACTATGATTCTCCTGGTAGAAGCTATTTCTTATGCCATTCCCAGTTGGGTCACGAATTTGACCAACTACCTGAAGGACAGGACGCTCCCTGAACACAAAAATTCGGCATATAATATGAAGTGCATTCAGAGGAGGGCTTCCATGTTCGAACTAGTGGACGGACATCTGTATAAAAAGACATTCGGAGGACCATATTTGAAGTGCCTTCCACTCGGTCTAGCAGCGGCAGTAATGGAAGAAATTCACGAAGGTATCTGTTCGAGCCATCAGCGGCCTAAAACGTTGGCAAGAAAGATCATCTTGCAAGGATACTACTGGCCAACAATCCAATAGGACTGCTTTGCACATACCAGGAAGTGCAAGATCTGCCAGCTATATGCACCGGTTCCCGGTCGGCCAGCAACTTTCTACACTCCGATGATCGTTGCTCTTCCATTTGCTAGGTGGGGGATCGACTTGCTAGGGCCCCTACCTACTGCCCCCGGAGGACTGAAATATATCATCGTTGGAATTGATTATTTCACCAAATGGGTGGAGGCTGAACCACTGGCGAGCATTACAGATTTCCGGTGTCAGAAGTTCCTCTGGCGGAACATTATTTGCCAGTTTGGCCTCCCTGAGCAGATCGTCACAGACAACGGAAGGCAATTCGTGAGCAGGAACTTCGAAAATTATTTGGTTAAATGGGGGATCAAACATTCCAGAGCATCTGTAGCATACCCTCAGGCAAATGGCCAAGTAGAAAATATGAACCGTACCATTATGGATGGTATGAAGAAAAAACTAGAACATTGTTCCTCATCATGGCCAGATCAATTCAATTATATCCTATGGACATACAGGACCACACCCCGAACGGCCACAGGAGAGACACTGTTTGCCCTTGCTTATGGATTCATAGAGGAAAGAAGGGATCTAGCGGCAATACGAATGGAAGAATATCACAGAGCGATAAGGAGATACTTCGACAAACAAGTGAAAATCCGATTAATCTAAGTAAAAGACTTGGTCCTAAAGAAGCGGGAAAAGAGCAAACCTCTCGAATGTGGAAAAATGGCACAAAACGGGGAAGGCCCTTATCAGGTCTTCAAAAAGTACGTTTCAGGAACGTTCGGCCTACAATCAACCGAAGGTCGACCGGCAGGCATATGGAATGTTGAACATTTGCGGAAGTACTATCAATAAACGGTTTTTGCCACCTCTTAAAAAAACGGATGACATAAAGGATAAAAGAGGGAGACATAACTTCCAGAGAGTCTCACCTCAGCTTTTAACATGTGGAATCATTCTGGATGACCGAATGACGAACGTGTTAACAGTTTGGAGGGATTCATCATCTCAGCTAATAGAATTTGACCCTGTGATTACGAACAGATAAAGGGATCAAAATGGCTTGGAGATGGTGTCAAAACTATAAGTATGGACGAATCGAGCGACGTTCGGTAACATGGATTGTTCGTCCGGGGGATCGGAACTATGGTTTTAAAATCTCGCCTCAGTCATTAACTTGATTTGGAAGTGAGTCGCCATTTTAGCTATAAGTAAGAAATGATCCGATCAGGTGATCTTGTTTATAGTTTGAAGATGGTCATCTCAAACCCCTAATAAGGATGATTCGGATCGGGAAAAACCGAACGGACTACATCGGAATTTTGGGTTGGGGAGATAGAATGTCTCACCTCATCTTTTAACATGTGGAATCATTCCGGATGACCGAATGACGAACGTGTTAACAGTTTGGAGGGAGCCATCATCTCAGCTAACAGAATTTGACCCTGTGATTACGAATGGATAAAGGGCTCAAAACGACTTGGAGATGGTGTCAAAACTATAAATATGGACGAACCGAGCGACGTTCGGTAACATGGATTGTTCGTCCGGAGGATCGGAACTATGGTTTTAAAATCTCGCCTCAGTCATTAACTTGATTTGGAAGTGAGTCGTCATTTTAGCTATAAGTAAGAAATGATCCGATCAGGGGATCTTGTTTATAGTTTGAAGATGGTCATCTCAAACCCCTAATAAGGATTATTCGGATCGGGAAAAACCAAACGGACTACATCGGAATTTTGGATTTGGAAGATAGAATGTCTCACCTCAGCTTTTAACATGTGGAATCATTCCGGATGACCGAATGACGAACGTATTAACAGCTTGGAGGGAGCCATCATCTCAGCTAACAGAATTTGACCCTGTGATTACAAACGCATAAAGGGATCAAAACGGCTTGGAGATGATGTCAAAACTATAAGTATGAACGAACCGAGCGACATTCGGTAACCCTAATATGGATGAACCGAAAGTTCGGGTTTGGAAGATATAAAAAGCAATGAAATAACAAGATTGGGGAAAGAATCAAGTTTTATTCTTCGGCACTACTGGCCGGAAAGTACAAAGAAAACAGGGATAAAACAACAAGGTAAAATATTATGAATGATCGCCGATCGGGGAAGATGAGGGTTGAGATCTGTCAGTTTGTGTCGCATCATCAGGGATTGCCTTCTGCCTGTTCTCCATGATCCGGTCATATGTATTCCCAAAAAGATCATCAAATCCTAACTCATCTCGAACGGCTTTGGAAAATGTTCCATGATCAGATTAAGATTCCTGTCGAGAAGCAGATCCTGACTTTGCTTCCCAGTCTTCTCGGTCAGGACATCCAGGAAGGATTTCCCTTCTGGCGTGCCGTCCAAAAGCTCAATCCCCGCCTTGAGGATCCTCACTTTCACGCAAGAATTGGCCAAGATGAGGCCCCAAGAACTGCCGAGTGGTGTTTTGCAGGGCGACATCCAGCCCTTTCCCTCGTTGATAGTCGAGCATCGACTGGGTGGTGATCTTGGAAGTATCAGCAATGTAGGAAACGGGAGGATTTTCTCCCTGGACTTTCTCAAATTTCATGCCAGCAGTTTCGGCCGCTTTTACTTTAGCCCTACGATCCTTGACCTCCCGATCACGACGGCGGATCCTCTCCTCCATCTCGGCCAGTTCGGCTATCGCTCTCTCACCCTTTTTAGCACGATCCTGCACATCCGTGATCAGCTTACGGGCGGCAGATAGAAGCATCTGACCTTCATCCCGATCGCTGGCTAGACGTTTCATCTCCTGCTCGGCTTCCAGGAAAGCCCGGTGATAGTATACTCCAGCCTACAAGCAATGGCAAACAAAATCAGGTGACATCTAAAAAACCGAAAATGTGTAAGCCTAAGGAAGTTGTAAAGGATCTATACCTTGAGAGCCTCTAGATGACCTGCCTCAACCAAGTCAGACCAATGATTCGGGTTGGAAAAACTGGGAGAAGCCTTTAAAGAAGTACTACACCACATAGAGGCTGGCGTTTTCCCAAACAGGTATCTTCCCTCTGCCCAGGGCCCCAAATCGGAGAACTCCACAAACATCCAATCATCGAACGGCATATTTGTAAAAACTGGATTCTTGGGCTGAAGAGGGAGAACATGTCTTTTCCGTTCAGCATCTGGACCGGTCAAATCAACTACGTGATCGATCGGGATAATCTGGCTACCATCATTTACCCGGTGCCTCTTCCGGGCTTGTTCAGCATTTGTCTGGTCGGCAATCATTTTTTCCTTGCCTTTCCCAGAGGAGGCAGACGGAGTAGTGGTAGATATGGGATGTTGAACGGGAGTAGGGGGTATCACACCTGCAAAGGAAGAAAATAAAGATAAGGAACAGAGTTGAACGAAGATCGATCGGGTTAAAAAACAAATAAACTTACCAATCCCAACAGTTAACATCTTGGAAGAAGTAATGAAAGATCGAAGATTTCTAGAACCTCCGAGACGCAGAGATTCGGATTGTGAAAGAAGAACAGTATCTAGTCTGGGTTCAGAATCCCGAACTGGGTAAGCTTTCCACCGATCGGGAAATGGAAGCGGTATGCTTACGCGAACAAAAAGAAACCGCTCTTCCCAGTTGACCGGTGCGGTGGGGTTCTCCGTAAATAGCTGACGATCGGCTTGGGCCACCAACTTCAAGTACCCGGTAGTCCAGTAGGGCTGATAGCAGTAATGATACATGAATAGATCAACACTTGGTGCGATCTTAAGTTCTTGGCATCGAATGATAAAGCCGGTCAGAATGCGGTAAGTGCTGGGCACGAACTGAGCGGGAAGTATAGAAACCCGTTGCAGGAAGTCTATAACGAACGGGTGTAGAGGGAAATGAAGTCCAGCAGCCAAAGCATCGAGATGCACAAGCACGTGCCCCACACGGTGCCTCATCGGATGTTCGATAAATCCGGCGTAAAATTCCCTAGGGGAAGGTAAAAATTGGCGGGGTCTGCCGTTCGGCTTCTTCAGGAAGGCATTACCTTTGTTTCCGGATGCGAGTGAAATGCAAAGGGATGTAGGGTGGTCATTCGGGCATTCCCTTATTGTAAATAGCAAGACCATCACCCGATAGGCACCCATCTTCTGGAAGAGGTTGTTCGGATCGTTTCGATACAGAAGGATTAGTGGACTGGGGTGCTTGAGAAGAGGAGCCCCCGGCCTTGTTAACAGGGGAAGTTTTCCCTTTAGGACGACGAATGAGCGGCATTTCTTCAGATTCTGAGCTGAAGGAGAATAACATAAAAGGGCACTGGTAATTCAAGGGAGCCTGAGAACTCTAGAGAGAGAAAAGTTAAAGAGAGGCAAGAAGAAATTGAAGAAGCAACAAAAAAACGAAAAGGAAGCACCTCTATTTATAAGTAAAGATGTCGCCCAAAACCCTAACCCATGACAAACACGTGGCAGAATATGGTTGCAAGCAATTATGACGTATTTATGATTATAATAGCATGCACCCCGAACGGTGTCCATCCCAAAAGATGACAAGTATGATTAAAATACCCCGAACGAGTACTATTTGAAGAAAAAAAATGAAGGAAGTATTGGCAGTTTGAGGGGGATCCTCATATTAGCTATGTTGGGGAAGGATTTTCTAACCGGTTCAAAGATGATGTCAAAACAACAGAGATACAGGATTCGGGCGATATTCAGAAAAATGAATGACTTGTGGAATCCAAGATAATGAGTTGGTAGATATGGGCAGGAAACAACCTGAACAGGGGGTCCTATCAACAGTTAGGTAGGACAGATGGAGCATCAGAAACAAAAAAGCTCGAAAACGACTAAGTCCTACAGAACTGTCTGAAGCCCGGACGGCAATTCAAATGGAAAGGAACACAAGAAAGAGCCAAATTCTATGGAACTGGCCGAATCCCGAATGGCAAGAAAATAAGGGTCGAAAAAACACAAAAACAACTAAGTCCTAGAGAACTGCCCGAAGCCTGGACGACAATCTAAAGAAAGATCAAAAAAGTTGAAAAACTGCTAAGTCCTATAAAATGGACCGATTCTCGAATGGAAAAAGCAAAAAATTGAAAAGGACAAAAGAGAGAATTAAATAAATCATTGAGCAAAAAAGATTTCATATATATTCATCGGCACTACTGGCCGGGAAATACAAAGAGCATTTGCAAAAAGAAAGGGGGGGATTACAATTACTAAAATACTTGATTAAATCTACTGATTGGTGACCTCCTTGTCATCATCATCCTCACCCTCGTCCGAGTCAGAAGGGGGTTCGGGATCTTTCCATGCCGCACGATCGGCTGCACGTTGCAGGTCCCGTTGGTATTTTTCAAACTGGGCCTCGACAATGGGGACCGGGGGAAGATCGGGAAGCTCGACCGGCATCCCCAGCTGCTCTTGAAGCTTGGTTAGGAAGGGAACTATAATGTGCTGACAGTCCATGACATAGAGAGATTTTGCCAGGGAGTCGTTGAACTGTTTACCCCGAGAATCCTAATCGAGCAGCTTCACGCCTTCCGTACGCCAGATATCACCCCGGGGAAATTGTTGAAGATAAGCCCCAAAGTTCGCTGGCAGTTGTTGCCGAGCATACTCATCCTTGATAGCAGCAAATTCATCATAGGATTTGATGCTATCCCGAACGGCAGACAGGTCCACATTCACTTCATAAGGACCGTCCGGGATACGGGAGGGCATCCCCTTGAACTTGACCTGAGCAGCCTCAGCAGCAAAGACCTTAGCCTGAGAAGCGGCAAGCTGAACCCGAAGCTCGCCAAGCTCTGTCTTGAGCCGTTGCTTTTCCTCAGCAAAACCTTTCCGTTCGGCCTCCAGAGTTGTGAGAGCAGCCGCATCATTCTGCTCGGTGGAAGTTTGAGCAACAATCAAGTCCCGTTCCTTGGCAAGTCGGGCCTCCCTCAGCTGCAAGCTGTATAGCCCCACCTACAGAATTCCGTTCGAAAAATGAGATGATATAGAACGAAGGGCAAACATATGAAACAAATTATGGGGGAAAAACAAAGTACCTTCAAGGCCGCTAAGGCCAAACACTCCTCTGCCTGGTCAACTGGCAGTTGAGGGACGACAAAGTTATTGAAGAAAGCGGAGGTGGACCAGACTTGGCTCGCAGAACAACCAGCTTTCTCCAATACTTGATGAACGGGATCTGCCAGAGAGATCCGTTTGACCCGTCTAGAGAGATGAACAGTGTGGGTTTCACCCACGTCTATACTAGCATCCTGAGCAGCCTGAAAATGCTCAGTAAAATGATGCAGCTGATCGGACCCAAACCGGTTGTCGATCAACATATCTTCAAGTTGGTCCTGATGGGAAACCTGCTGAATGGGATTAGGCTCCTGAACAGGCTGAGAAGACCCAGCATCTTGATTAATGGCGGTGGAAGGGCAGGCCTTGGGGTTCTTCTTGGCCTTCTTCCTTTTTCCCACTCCACCGGCTGCTAACACACGACTGTTATCCATGGGATTGTCTGGATTGAGAGCTGAAAAATGACAAAGGAAAATGTTAGTACCGAGCGGTCTTATCACGTGGGAAACAAGGGGGATCAGAATGTTTCTCGCACGGGAAGGACCGCCCGGCCCACGGTACTTGGTTCTTAGACAAGTAGACCCAAGAGTGCGGGCAGTACCTATCCCGGCCTTGATAAGTTGATCGGGGGTCAAATATGCTAGAATGTTGCAGGTTTTGCCTTCCTCCACTGCAAAAATGTCGTTACAAATCGTCTCAGTAAGAATCGGATCCGGTGATTTACGAGGAAAAGCATTCCACTTGTTTGGAATCAGACCGTCCGGGACAGAAACGGAGAAAACCCGGTCTTTCCACCCCTTGATTGAGGTTAGATTGCCCTTAAAGAGTATATGACCCGTTCGGGCAGTTGCGGCTAAGTAGCCATGGGTCAGCTGGGGGCCACTTTAAAAAATTGGTGGAATAAATCTAAATTAGGTGTAACCTTAACATCTACACAATGACAAATAAAGCCATCCATCACCCGATAGGAGTTCAGCATTACTTGGGCCGGTACGATTTCATAGAAATTTAAAAAAGAAACAAAAAAGGGGTGCAATGGGAATCTAAGCCCAGCTTTAACCGAATCTAGGTGAACTACAACCATCCCAGGGAGGTGGCGCATTGGGTGAAGCCCAGCCCGCAAACGGAAATTCATTGGGTCTGGAATTAGGTCCGGAATTTGGGGCCTATTGTGAGAAGTTAGCTTCTACCGCCTTTCCCTAATCAACCTTAGGTCAATTTTGTAACGAGGAACATCGCTCGGGGGTCCAACCGCCATGGAAGCAAGTTCATCACCAGACTTTGTATCGTCGGAATCGTCATCAGAAGAAGAAGAAGAACTGGCGGAAGAATCCTCCGCCTCCGCCCTATTATCTTCCACCGCCTCATTTGTGCCTTCAGCAAAAGGGACAGGTATGACATCCACTAAGGCGGCATCTTGATTTTCCCCTTGGGAATCCATTCCCGAATCAGAGGAGCGGGATCGAGGACACATATCGATCGAGGCAAAAGGAGTGGAGGAAAAATTTAAAGAACGGGGAATACCTGAGCACAAAAAAAGCTTGAAGGATCTGGAGAGAAGGCAGAACAAATGCTCAAAGGAAATGAGAATGCGAAACCCGTATCCAAGGAATTCAAGGCCTAATTATAGCCTGACAGTCGCCGAATCGATAACCAACAAGAAGAAGACATGTCACCTGGACTATTTGGAAGGACACGTGTCGCATAGGAGATCAAGGGCCAGTAATCATGACGATTATGAAAAAAATCAAACGACAGCCGCAAATAAGGTACAAATTATGGTATGGGGAACCAGCGAATTCTGGGTCTCGATCGCCATTCGGCGTATAAATTCTACTTCCCAATGCACTCACTACTGTTCGAGACATCGGAAGTGGGGGACTCGTGTTGGTATATTGAGCTGAAGGCCCAATACCCGGATCAAAGGCATAATATATCCAATCCAACAAACGGACCCAGAATCCAGAAGATGAACAGGCTCAGAGAGAAATATGTACCGAACGGGGTTCGGGTCAACCAATGTACTTGGGCAAGATCAATGATATTTCCAGCAGGGTCCATTACCCGTTCGGGCAACGGGCAGCCATCAAGTGGCAGGAAGCATTTATTGCTAGAGTATGGCGGCAGCAAGTGGGAATATGGGCTTTCAAGTGGCTGTATTAGCAACCAATCAGCATGAAGCTCCCCATACCCCCATTAGTATAAATAGAAGGATTAATTTCATTGTAAAGGGTTAGATCTTTGAGACTCAAAGCCTAGAATAGCTTAAATACTCTTGTACTTGTATTAATCACTATTCCGACGTACCGTTCGGGAAGTTCTTGTGTAATCAGCAAATTATCTAATACAAGTGGGCTTTTGAGCGTTATATTATCCATCTTTTATATTTTCTTATACACTGAATTCGTGACCATTTCCTGAAATATCTAAAGTTCGTGTTGGGCTTTCGGATCTGCGGGACTTAACCTCAACAGTAGTATAAAGTTTGGCTCAATTTGAGGACTTTAGTAGTTTAGTTGAGATTTTTGGAATTTACGGTGAAATTGACATAGTCGGTTGAATATGTTAAAATTAGTAAAATTCTAGCTTTAGCGACCGAATTAGATGAACATACTAAATTATGTTAAAAACTTACTTAAAATATTTTTATTAATGGGAAAACTGTCGATTAAGTCCCTTTCTATTTCAATTTTCAAAAAAGTAAATCAGACTCCCTAACTGAAAGTTCACCCAATTAAACTCTCGAACGCATTTAAATGTGGCCAAATGGAGACTCTACATGAGCTCTTCAATGTCGAATCAACCATAGATTTAATTGATTCGACAACAAGTTGTGGACAATGTGATATCTTTGTAGAACATGCATGTGTTAGACGAGGTCGAGTTGGCTGACATTCTCCCCTTACCTGCACCACCTGCTAAAGAGCTACACAGTGAGACTCACATTGGTGGCTCAAACGATGAGAGAAACGAAGAGGAAGAAGATGAGAGTGAGCATGATACTAGTTTGGATGAAGAGGGTCATAATGACATGCATACAAATGAAAACGTCTCAAATGAGGTGGGCGTGTCTTGTGATCCTAAAACAAATCTAAACCAAAACTCATAGGAGGCTCAAAGCCAAGAAGCTATATACACCGAAGAAGAGGCACAAAGGGAAGAGGGGGATGAAATCAAACAACATGTATCTACTAAAGAGGTTGACAAAAGTGAAGATGAAAGTTCAGAGGGTGCATGTGAACATGAATCTAACAATATAATTAAGAGGGCATTTCAATTGAAGAACAAACAGGGCATGATGGGCAAGAAGGTGAAACCCAACTAATTCCAACTATTCAAAACAAAAACAAAGATTGGGGTGTTAATGATTCAGATACTAGTATTGAATGTGATTCCATCTTACATTCAAAAGAGGAAGCAAGTGGGGGGGGGGGGTTCCACCAAAAAAGAAAGAAAAGTAGGTATTTGACCTATAATCTCGAATATGAACTACCTGTTATTGAGTTGGGCATGTTGTTCGAGGATGAAAGACAATTTAAAAATGTGATCATCAAAATTGATGTTCATGAAAATTGAGATACATGCTTTGGTAAGAATAGGCCAAATAAAGAGTGTGTGAAGTGTGCGCCAAATTGTCATTTTATGTACACTGGTAGATGAAAAAGGGCTTCATTGTTTTTCAATTTCAAGTCAATGTCTTCAACACAACTCATTTGTGCAATTCAATTTTAACTTGAAGGTTATGAGTTGGAAAACCCATACATAGTTGCCATTGACTTAAAAGCTCTTTAAAATGTTGAACATACTTAAGATTAATGTGTTTGTGAGTATGGTGACTAAGGCAATGTGGGGAATACATAAATAACAAACTTTGCTTTTTAGGATCAATTTTGGACAATTGGGCAATGCACTAAGAATTGTTGGAAGTCCAATCCTAAAAGTTCTATGATCATAAAAATTGGTATGGTTGTTCTAGAATGCATGTGTGTTTCGTGATGGTATACTACTTCTTTGGGCCTTGATGGAGTATATGGCCTAGGAACCCCCAGCCCACATACTTCCACTACTACGATCAAGTCCAAATGGGCCAAGCCCAGCGAACAGGACTCCAGACAGCTCATAATACACAAGGCGTGCCTTCGGCCCCATGCTCGAAGGCTTAACATTCATGAAACCAAGTCAATAAACATCACAGGAGAACAAGGCTTGAAAACCAAGCCTTCGGAACATACAGCCTTTGGCACATAATGCCCCGATATGTGGAGCCTTCGGCACATACAGCCGAAAGCGCTCTTCTCGAAAAGATCTGCTCTCCCACATGCGTTGAATCACCGCGTCAAGTACAACGTCACATCCAATCACCGCATTTAATGCGGTGCACATGCGAGTGCCGGTGTCACCCCGATTGAGGAGACCCTCGGTCGTCAGATGCTTGACATGTGTCCCTGCCTAGCATTTATGGCTACTATAAATAGCAGCCACTTTCCATTGTAATCGACACAACTTTCCTATTCGAATACACACCCTCTCTCTCTCTTACTTATTGCTCTGACTCCTCTCTAGGTTATTCCCCGAAATAACCCCTCGGATAAGCTACCCCCGAGTACACTATCCATCAGGCCTGTTAAAAAGGAGTTTCTAGAAGGGTGTCAAGAGGTTATTAGAGTTGATAGGTGTTCCTTGAAGGATTATCTAAATGGTGAAATACTAATTGCCATTGGAAGGATGTTAACAACAAGATCGAGAACAACTCTTCTTGGACATGGTTCGTAGACCTTCTTAAAAAAGTCTTAAATATTGAAAGAAATTATTATCAGTGATCAACAAAGGGTTAACCACCTCTTATTAACCCCAATACTGTTTAAAACAAGTGTGTTTGACCTTGTTATTTAAAACTACTGAGTATGCTACTTCTATAAATGTCAAATAAGACCCTCTATTGTTTAAGTCTATTGAACTAAGGCCTCAAACTATTTAAAACATTTCAATTTGACCTCATTCTATCCGTAAGGTAACAAAGTTTTCGTCATTAGTATTGTTTGTGTATGTATGGGCCATCCATTGTTATAGAGCAGGTATTGAATGGAATTGAACATATAAATTATGCTAGGCATATACATGCCAATTGGAGCAAAGGTCACATAAATGTGATCTTGAACAGATTTTCTGGAAGGTTGCGAAGTCCACATCACAAGAAGAACTTGAAGCAAACATAAAAGAGATGGAGAAAGTTGATTCTCAAGCTGCCTTAAATTTACAAAAATACCTATTTCAGTTTTGGTGTAAGGTATAGTTTAGAATGTGTGTGAAGTTTGATCTGTGCGGTAATCATTGTGAAGTCTTCAATAGTACCCTCCAAAGATGCAAACCAAAGTCTTTACTTCCAATGCTAGAAGATATAAGAGTGAGAATGATGAAGAGAATTTCCAATAAAAAGGTAGTGCAAAAATGGCCGAGGATTTTTCATTTAATGCATACTAATGAAGTTTTTTGACATGTGTTGTGGGTTGTCCAGGAAATTTTGGTTCCATATAACAAACAAGCTCAATAAGAATATCAACGTGTGTTCTGGGTGCCATGTTGATTTCAATGGTTACAATGAATATGAGATCAAGAAGAGAAAATGTCAGTTCACTGTTAGGCTTGAAATGCAAATCGTGTAGTTGTAAAAGGTAGGATGTGTTAGGTACCCTTATGAATATGCTGCTAAAGTGTATAAAAATGCCCAAAATGGACAAAATATTTGAGGAATAATAATGTTTGAATTGTTTTTAAGGTATATCGTCTTGTGCAATGCAATTGATACCATCTTAGACAATGGGCAGAACTCAGAGGAATTTATGGATAGGTGTTACTATAAGAAAATGTATGAGAGAACATACTCTCATACTCTACAATCTATTAATGGTGAGATAATCCGGCCTTCAATTAGTAGAGCATGAGGAAATCTAGAGCCTTTACCAAAAACAATGAGAAGAAGGCGGAAAAATATAATATGTGAAGAAAGTGAACAATTGTCGAGGAATGGTAGAGTAAAATCATGCACAATATGTAAGGAGGTTGATCATAAGAGATTGTGTTATCCAAGAAGCATTGCACCTACTCCAACTACAAAAGGAAGAGGAAGAGGATAGGGGAGAGGAAAGGGGTGGGAAAGAAGTAGAAAATATCATATTGTTAATGAATCTGATTTCGATCATGCTAAAGAAACTTGTTTTGGTATATACTATATACACAAATCCACAATCTTGAGCAACAATCTTGAATCTATGCACCTTTCATAGATTAAATTCTTTTGTAATTGTTGTTTGATTATTCAAAATTAATTATTGTTTGGTAACTTTGTTATTGTGACCTAGACAACATGGAGAAACGGCAGTGTGTGACATTTTTCACACAACCTACCATGTGTATTAAGTTTGTTCAATCACATCCATTCCGGGACAATTTTGTTTATTTATATTGATAAAGTGTGCTAATGGTGTACAAACAAATGTACATCATGCATTTTTTAAATAAAGTTTAAAAAATGCATGGTGTACGTCTTTTTTTGTACACCATTAACACATGTAACTCAGTTGGTTGAGTGGTGAAAAAGTTAGAACATTGATAAATGATCAAAACCTGCAACGGTCGTGTTGAGCTTACAGTCCCTGCATGTTGGATTGAACCTCTGATACGCACAGATATAAGATGTACCACCATTGGATCGATTGAGACAACGTGATTTATAACCTCCCAAAAACGTCTTGGGCGTGAGGGATCCTTGGGGATTCAACATTTAAATAAAGTTCACAGTATCCTATGTATCTATGACCCATAGTGGAGGGCAATTTCGACATTGAGCAAAGCAGAAGCAGAGATCTTGATTCTTGAATGGGTGAATTGGTAATATACGCACATGGTGAATGGTACTCGGAAAGAGTAAAGTCAGTATACGCCCACTGCTTGTATAAAAACAACACCACTGACCATTTTTGCTCTGTACCTTGATCGTCGCACGACTTCAAAATCCTCCAAAACCGAGATTCTCTCTTTCTTCTTCGATTTTCCCACCACCATGGCCATGGCTTTTAAGATGGTTTGTACCTTCCGTCGATTGGAATATTCGTTGATGATGATGGTGATGATTCTGTTAATATGATTTCTCAATAAATTAAATATGTGTGTATATAACAGGCGACTACAGGGATGTTCTTAACCGATGAATGCAAAAACTCTTTCATGGAGATGAAGTGGAAAAAGGTGCACAGGTACATAGTTTTCAAGATTGAGGAGAAGTCTCGGCAGGTCACCGTCGACAAGGTCGGCGGAGCCGGCGAGGGTTATGATGATCTCGCCGCCTCCCTCCCCAAAGACGACTGCCGGTACGCGGTGTTCGATTTCGACTTTGTCACCGTCGATAATTGCCGGAAAAGCAAGATCTTCTTTATCGCATGGTACGAGTTGGCCGGGAGGATCAGTAACCGCCGGGAAATCAAGAATTCAAGATTCTTCCTTTCCCTTATTTCGAATTGAGATATGTTTGAATTAATGAATGGTAAATGCAGGTGCCCGTCGGAATCAAGAATCAGAGCGAAAATTCTGTACGCGACGTCGAAGGATGGACTGAGGAGAGCGCTGGACGGAATATCCTATGAAGTTCAGGCGACCGACCCGACGGAGATGGGAATGGATGTGATCGAGGAGAGGGTCAAATGAGCTAATGAAAAAGGTCAAATCCTGTTTTGGCCATCTAAAGAGCAATGATTAATTTTAAGGCTAATAATTCCCCACTAAGTACAGTTGTAATTTTGTTGCCCACTGTCTTTGTGGATCTGCTAGTGTTTCATTTCTGCTAATGGTTTCTGTAACAGTAAGATGTTCTCTAATGTTGATGATCAGCTTCTTCGTTTGACCTAATTTAATCCCACAAGTTAAACCTTTCCTCTTCCTTTTTGCGTTTCACTACAGAGAAAAAGTGGTATTGACCAAAAAATAAATAACACGTTGGTGTCGTTTTTAAAGGTAATTAATGCTCTTGTAATATCAAAGTTCTTAAATATTTAAAGCCTAATTAAGTGATCTAACTTGTATGGAAAAAAATTAAATTTCATAAACGACATGCTTCCATTTGCTGAAATGTGAGTGAAGTAGTCAAGTAATGCCAGGTACGAAACCATTCTGGAATTCATTGATCCAAAAGTTGGAATCTCCCATCCATGAATCCCCGCTGCTGATCCGAAAGGATGGTGAGAAGGTTAGTCACGGTGACTCAGTAAGCAGAATGACAGTAGGCCCATATACCTGTGCGCACTAGAGATCCAACTTTATTTCAGTTTTGTGAACTCCACTCGGTCGCTGCGGGGATTCGAACATTGGTCCAATGATCTAAATTTCTCACAACTCGACCAACTGAGCTACCCGTGCGGGTACCTTTGTGGATTTCATATTTTCATTCAAGAAAATTAAATATCAACCTTTGTGAGTGTTTTTTCATATATTTATCCATCTCTCGATGAAGATTGGTATTCAAGCAGAATATGAATTTGATTACTAACGAATGTTTGGAATTCATTCCAATTCACCTAAATGGTTTCTAGAAACAATTGATTACATGGAAAAGTTTCTCCATTTTCATTCATACACTCAAATTTCTCCATTTTCATTCATTACATCTCACTATGAATTACGTAGGGGAGTATTATTTTATAGATATAAATATGCTTGAAATTTATTTGTTTTTACAATGTAATATTAGTTCTTACAAATTTAACGAAAGAAAATTGGATGAAAATTATAAGCTGTTGATCCAAAAATAGATTTATAGACATAGAGCCCGTTTGGTAGTTCTATTTTTCGGCTTATCGGGCTTATCAGCCAGTTTATTCGTCAAACACGTAACTTTTAATTTTATGCGTTGAATTGCGTAGCAATAAAAAAAGTAAGGTTAGAGTTACTTTTCTGGCTTTATTGACTAAAGTTACTGTAGATTATCATTTTAGCTACTTTTTCATATATTTATTTATTTATCTATTAATAACAAATATTTTAATTTTTTTCCATAAATCAACAAAATCAGCCAATACAGCCACTTCAATCAGAACTTCATAAATTTCAGTTGAATCAACCAATTCAGCCAATTTCAGTGTTACCAAACAGGCTCATACTCTTCAAAGAAATGTAAAAAATGTACTACGTAATTGGTTTGGCAATACGAAATTGTCTAATAAATTAAGTCTGAAATTGGTGAATTTTTTGCTACATTCATTGATAAAATATAGAAAAAATTAAATGAAAAAGGCTAAAATATTTTCATTTTATCAATTCAATGATAAAGCTAACCCATACTTATTTTGAATATGATATAAATCAACATGTCAAATTAAAAATTTAATATTTAGTAAAAAATGACATTTAAAATGGCAAACTGAGATACAGTGGAGTGACCAATCAAGCTTCACAGCTCAAACCTTGCGCACAGAAATATAATGAGCCCATAATGATTTTGGATTGATGTTTATCATTATGTGCTGGAGGAAATCTTAAGAAATGAGGAAGCTGACAAGGCATATCAAACACAAATGTGTGTATAATTGTGATAATTTATCTAATACGAGTATGCGATTTGGTTGGATAAACATCAGATTGAGTCATTCGGTCTTTATTTGTTACCTGTGATAAATAAAAAAAGATTGTTAAACAGCGCAAGTTAAGTCAATAGCATCACTTTTGGACAACAACTAAGTAGCTGCCGAAAGTTGGTAGGGGTGACACCCCACCCCACCGGTCTGACTGAGGGAATTACCGTACCAAACTACAAAATATTTGGAGCAAGTTTGTTGACCCCTTTTTTCGGTTTATAAATCAGTTTTTTCACCAAACACGTAATATTTGGTTTCGCACACTGAATTATGTAATAAGAAGAAAAGGTAAGGTTGAATTTACTTTTCCGACTATATTGGCTGAAGTTATTGTAGAAGATCATTTTAGCAATTTTTCATATAATTTTTTGTTTTATTTATTAATAACAAATATTTTAAATATAATTTATTTATGAATCAACAGAATCAACCAATACAGCAATTTCAGCCAGAACTTCATAAATTTCAACATAATCAACCAATTCAGCCAATTTTAATGTTACCAAACGGACTCTTAGTGTAACCCTTTTTTCTATGTCGTTCACACATTTTTTTTATTTACACAAACATAATTATTTGTATAGAGACAAAATGTGTGAATGTTGTACAAAAACTGTGTACACTATCTATTTTTGTTTTGATTATGCTATGTGTTTTGATTGAGCATACGCAATACAAATATACTACCAAGTACTACGTACTACCTATCAAAAACATTTACAAAGTAAAAGCGGAATACCGTGTTCATCGGAAAGTATTCGAATCCCATAACAGAATTTCAATTCGAGAACTTGATTGAGCCAATTAGACGTCTTTTATCCTTAGGTCAAAATTGACTCCGGATCGGTTCTTGGTTTGAGGCTTTGAGCATGTTTTAATTGGACTGAATTTTCTAATAACCTATTGAAACATGTTTTGATCTACTCTTAACTGATCTGATAGATGTTCATTCTTTGTGCATTTTACAATTGTTGAAATCTGATCTGATCCATTCTGGTCTCGGACTGAAATCAGTTCAATTAAAAATGTTTTGAGATCGATTTGTAAGCGTCTATAGTTTTAGCTAAAAAATTGAACTGATCTAAACCGGTTCATTTTGCCAGTTCATGAAAATAGAGCAATGTTACTTGTACTTTTTTGTACACTTTTGTTGTACACATTGCCTAGTTGCCTGTGTACACAAGAAATTCAAAACGAACGATCTATGTACACAAGCAACTAGAGGATGTAGAACACATGTGTACAAAAAAGTGTACAAATGATTTTCTCCATGAAAATACTGAAGGAAAATGAATACTACGGACTGCTTGACCACATGAAAAGTTGAAAACCAACTTTCCAGAAAATCTAAGATCTAAATTTCAGGGGAGTAACACTTTTTAGGGAAATGATGGATTCTGCTTGCTTAGAAGCATTGTTTCTCTCTTTTAATCTCTACGGTGTTCCGCATGGACTTCCTCGGGTGGGGTCATGGCTCCCCACATTCTTCTACATCAAAAGGTTGTTCATCGCATTTTCAATTTTCCTTCTCTCGTGGACAGGTTCAAGCATGACAATCCCAATATGTCACGAGGAAAAAAACACTCGTACTACCTAGTAAACTACTCCATAGTAGATATCAACGGGCGAAAAAATCTATTTGTACACACTTTCTTATACATAACTTATACACATCTTTGTGATAAGACTATTTTTTGTATGTGAATCTCGTGGAAGGTTCATAGATATGTTTTGTCTGTAAACGGGATTCACAGACGAAAAAATAGTCTTCTCAAAGAAATTGTGTATTAGAAAGCGTGTACAAGTAGCAAAACTAAGAGCATCTTCAATGCTCCACTTTCAACATTAATAAATCATTGACACATGACAAAAAATGTATGGAATGTCAAGTCACATCAGGCAAATGTGGAAGCATTATAAATTGAAAGTGTAAAACCTTCTCCAGCCCATAACGTCAAACTATAACTGTATTTCTTATGTGACATTTATTAAAACAAATTAAATAGAATGAAATTTAAAAGAAAGAAGATTCCCGATCGGCAAAATACTCTGCTATTTTCCTGCTCGACTTCAACCGCTCCTCTCCGGCATAATTACCTCTTTCAATTAATTCTTCTAATTTGCAAATCGGAATCCTTCAAGAGATGTTCACAACAAATTCACACCCTAGGTTATTTGTTTACATGATCTCAATCAAACTGAAAATCATGGCATAGAAAATTGACTTAATGATTTGTGAAAGCTATTCCATGGATTACCTTTCTTGTCTCTTGGGTTGCAACTTGCAAGACTTCTACCACTACCATCTTGAGTAGCAGTAACGGAGATATAGAGGGAATATGTGTGGAATAATATCTGCATATATATTGCTGATTTGCCGGCGTTTACACAAAGCCGCACCACTTTTTTCATCCAAATTCTGATTTGAATGTCCAGATTTTACGTGATACATTTCAAATAGCTGACTCAGCCAGTGTAAATGGCTTTGTAAAATCAGAAAGTGGGGTTGACACTTTCTTCAACACGTACGCATGACTGCAACGCATACAGACTGCATTGGAGAAGTTTTTTTCATACGGCTTTTTAATTTGATGATGTGGCATAAATTTATTAGTATCGAAAGTGGAGCATTGGAGATGCTCTTCGTTGATTCTTCTTGATCAAGATGAATTTACATTGGGGCTATGGTGGGGAAGTTCAGTGCAATTTAATACTCCTATTTTTTAGGTAAACTTCCTTTTCTTCATTCAGTCTACCGAACAACCACAATCTTTCCTGCCCCTCTGCGGCTCTGCCTAATACTAGTTTCTAAATCTGCCCATGGGGTTGAACTAGCATAAATTTCAGCCACGAGTATATAGATTACGATTGCCACCACTAAGATAGCTTAACCCGGGTTCTTTCATCGACTTCTTTCCCGCCATGTTCAACCTCAAGGCTTCAGCATCTTGAAAACGCCCGACTGATTTATAAAGATTTGACATGATCACCACATCCTCTCCATGGTCTGACTCGCCCAATCTATCCAACCTTCTTGCAGCAACCTCAGCCAGTTTAATATCATCATGAAGCATACACCCATTCAACAAAGCCTTCCAAGCATTTCGATCTCTTCCATCCATTAACTCACTGGCATCAGACAAGTAACCGGCTCGAGACAGCAAATCAACAAGACATCCATAGTGCTCCTCAGAAACTCTAATTTTTTCTTCCTCGAGCATCTTACTGAAAATAATCAAACCATCGTTTATCATGTCTGCACGGCTACAAGCACTCATAACACATAGGTAAGTGGTGGAATCAGGGATTCCCCCCGAATTCGTGAACTCAATAAAAAGTGATAGAGCAGTCTTTCCATGGCCGTTGATCCCATACCCGTAAATCATTGCATTCCAAGAAATAATATCACAAAGAGAGGTCATTTGCATAAAAACACTCCGGGCAAGTTCCACATCCCCACACTTTGAGTAAACTGAAATGAGACAATTTTGCACACATCTGTAGGGTATAAATCCAGATTGGAAAGCATAGCAGTGGAGCTGCATGCAGAAGTCTAAGGCACCTAATTCACTTGCTGCAGCTAAAGCATTTACCAAAAGTATCGGATCGGCATATAAATTTTCTTTTTTTCTTGCACCAATGAACATGTCAAGTGCTTCCCTAGGCCTTCTATTGATCAGAAGTCCAGAAATCATACATGTCCATGAAATGACATTCTTCTTAGTTGTTTGGTCAAACAGACATGTACAAGAATCAAGGTCCGCACATCTTGCATACATTGATATCATGAAATTAGTCAGTTGAATGTCTGATCCAAAACCATTAATGATTGTCTGGACGTGAACAGATTTTCCCATTTTCAAATTTCCCATAAGTCCACAAGCTGAAATGAGATTCACTAGGACACCTCCATCATAACCGGTTCCAAAATCTCTCATTTGAAAGAAAAGATTTATAGCATCGGAGGTATATTCCAGTTGGACCAAAAGCCCCATCATTGTTGACCAGGTAATAACATCTTTATCTTCCATTGATTTGAATACTAGTCTGGCAGCATTTAAGTCAGTCAAATTTGAATACATGGAAAGGATTGCATTGCTGACCTCCATATCAGATAACAGGCAAAATTTAATGCAAAAACTATGAACTGATTCACAAAGATGCTGAGATTTTTTGGCAACACAAACTTGGCTCAGAGTCATTACTGTCACGGCATTAGGAACAAAACCAGACTCCCTGAAACTGTTAAACAGGAACAATACTTCTTCGAAAAGCTGATTATACACAAATGCGCTCATCATTGCATTCCATGGAACTTGGCTTTCGGGCTTTATGGTTTTGAAAACCTTGTAAGAATCACCTATGGACCAACACCTTGAGTAAGTATTAAGTAGTGCAGTGACCACAACAGAGTTAGTCTCCCACCCAGTCTTCACTATAAGCCCGTGAATGACTTGACAAAGTGCAATGACTTCAAGCCCAGAGACGCCTACAAGAACTCCCACAAAGGTAAAAGAATTCGGGACCAGACCGGAATGTCTCAATGTACTAAAACATTTCAAAGCTTTTCCATAGAACCCATTCTTTGAGTACCCGTGGACCATTATTGACCAAACCACAATGTTCTTCACAGTCATTTCGTCAAACAGCTTCTGTGCGTTTTGAATCCTTCCCATTTTCATGTGATCACTTAGCTGCTTGGAAGACCGAAAAAGATCAATTTCCGTACCATATCGTTGACTTGGCGATGGTATATAGTGACGATTGTTCTCTCTTGCAGCGAATGTGTGTTTACTGATTTTCTGGATGACCAAATGGCAATACTTTGCTGCCGAATGAGACAGCATAAGCTGCGGCTTTTTACTTTACATGCTACCACAAAGCCATACTCCGTATTATATTGGAAGTTTGGAACTTGGAAGGGACTTCTATAGTTCTATTAGACATAAGATCATTTGCAACTCCACGCAGTCATTCGTGAATCAAGAACACATCTTTACCCAGCCGGGTGGCTTGCTTATACACAAAGAGAGTTATTGAATTGGGCATTGATGGATTATTTAAAAATTACTCCGTCCCATAATATCTTCATTATTTCCATTTCACTGTGTCCCAAATTTATCTCCCCTTTTCCTTTTTGGAAAAGAATTCGTGGTTCACAATCATTCTTACATATTTCTCTCTCCTTTGCACAACTCTCCACCACACAATTCTTACTATTTTAATATGTGTGCCCGGTCAAAACCGAAGTTTTTATTAGGACGGAGGGAGTATATTTTTTTATCGTCAAACCAACAAATATATTAAATCAAGAAAACGTTCATCCGTTGGCTGACAATACAATCAGAGAAAAACATCAAACAAAACGATAAAAGTCTTTTGTTTGTCATCCGTCCTTAAACCAGACTTAGAATCTATCACCTCTCTAGAAGCAATAACATTCATTAAATTCGTTGATCCTGTAACGAGTTTAAGTGAGCCAACGACAGGTAAACCAGACTTCTCATCACTTGACCTAAATTGTAGAATCTTTCTGCTAGGAAATAAGAACACACCCAAAACAACATGCAATTCGAAAGAAAAACACAAACAAAATAAAACGGAATTAAAACAGAATTCACTCATCTTCTTCCAAAGCATAGACTCTCTTGCACTCCATGGCGGTGCCTCAAGAGGAGGGCGAGCCTGCCGTTCATCCACCTCAACAACCATGCTTTTGTATTGATTGACGATATCCTCCATTGATATCCCTTGCTGCTAAATCGAACGCAAGCGCCACCGAAATTTATCTGCCTTTTCTTTGTCTACCCTCGGCCGCCGATCAGAAGCAGCAACAGAAGACGAGCCATGACCGCCAAAGCGCGACATCCCTGGTCACGAGCCTGCTTGCACGACCAAAATCCACCGACGGCCGCTCTTCGTCAATGATGAAAGCGGAAGAAACAAAACCCTGGAGATGGAGAGACCGCTTTTATTCCTGTTTTTAAAAATTATATTGAGAAAACTGTCAAATAAGTTCTCGTACTTTTACAAAAAAATCAATGAAGTCCTTGTACTTCAAAATGAGTCAATTAAGTCCATAAAGTGTTAAAAATTAACCAAATATGCTATTTAGCGGGTAACAAGCCGGTAACCGGGTTTCTCGCATTCATGGCTGTCCAACTAACCCTTTTTTACTGTTTTTCTTTTCATTTCTAACTTTTTTCCTTCTCTTTTTCCCTTCTTTTTCTCTCTCTCCTTTCTCCTGCAAGTCCACAGCTCCTCTCCGTGCAAGTCTGCATCTTCTTTAATTTCTTTCTTCTTTGTTTCCATCTTCTTTTTCTCTTTCTTTTTTTATAATATCCACCCTGCACCTTCTATTGTCATCAGGAGACCCGATATGGAGACTAGTGTTCTGCTCTCATGATATGGGGTGGAGCCGTGGAGGATGAGCTTGTTAGAGGCGATGAAGGAAGGACGAGGTGTTTTCCGGCGTGTTCTTGCGAAATGAGGCGGCGATGAAGAATTGAAGACGCGCTTAATGAAATCGTGAGTGAGACACTTGAGGACTAGTATTGCAGCCTTGTCAAGACCCTGTCTAGTGCCGTCGATGGTCCGCCACATCGGCGGTTTGGCTTTCCGCAGAAGCGCAGCAAGCATCGTCGTGCTAGACTTTAGTTTTGCACACTCACGCTTCGTCTGCAACTTTTCCCCCAAGTAATCTTCGGGAGAGGCTTTTTGAGAATCTGTTTCAAATTGGCCACCATTATCAAGCAAGGAGGAGTCGTCGAGCACTTTGGGAGAAAGAAAGAGAAGAAATCAAAAAAGAAAGAAAGTGAACAGTAGAAAAAGAAAGAATAAAAATAGAAAACAGTAAAATAAAGGCCACCTGGACATCCACGTAGACGGTATCCGGGTTTACCTTCTGGTGACCTATGAAATAGCTATTTTGGCGGGTTTTTAACACTTTGAGGACTTGATTGATTCTTTTAAAAAAATAAGGACTCAATTGATTTTTTTCATAAAAGTACACGGACTTATTTGACAGCTTTCCCAATTATATTTAAAATACTTCGTATATTTTATCATTAAGATAAAAATAATTATTTGAAAATAGCTAAAATGATCTCAGATACGTAGTACTATCCTCCGTTCCATAAAAGTTGCAACAGTTTGACTTTCACGTTTGCCAATGCGCAACTTTGACTGTAATTATATTTATTTACATATTAGTAAACATTAAAAAAATTAATATATTGGAAATTTACATTAATACAAATTTATTACTAGTAATATTTTATACATAATATTTTTATAATATATTGATAGAGTATATCTAGAGAGAAGTGAGAGCTAGAGAGAGAAGTGCAATAATATGCTTCAATAGAATGAATTTGTAACCCCTATAACTACTCCCAGGGGAGTATTTATAGAGAAAATACGGGCTGGGCTCCCAAGCCTTGGGCTTGGGAGGCCCATTTACAACTGGACCGCTACTGGGCCGAATACAAAGCCACTAATGGGCTGTACAAATGAGTAAGTGTAGAATCCGGTTCTGTGGAGTCTTCGTGGCCGACGAGGGCGTGGCCGACGAGGGCACGGCCGACGAGGGCGCGGCCGACGAGGGCACCCGGGATCCTTGGCTTCAGGACCATAATCTGAGTTGGCACCTTTTCGGCCGACGGGGGTCCCTTGGCCGACGAGGGCGCCACTATGTGTCTTGTACTTTCTGTTCTTCCTTGTATGTGGGTTCGGGGGCTCAGACCCATATACTCCATCAGGAGTCCCCCACTCTCTAAGCTGAGATGCAGACGAAGTGAAGGAGAGTAGATTCCCGTGCTTTGTTGCTTTTGGCCGATGCGGGCATTCCCAGGCCATCAGCTGTTGCGGCGTTGGCGCTGTTTCCATTTTGGTGATCATGTTCTGTGCTTTGGCCGTTACCTGCTCCTTGTTGTGGGCGGGGGAGGCCGTTGTTTCTTTGATGTGTTCGTTTGGGGACGATAAGTGTCCTGCTTCAATGGTGGCCGTTGAAGGCACGCTTTCCCTTTCTTGGACGTTGATGGTTGAAGTTTTACGTTTAGGCCGATGAGGTCACTGAGGTTGAACCTTGCTTTGAGGACGATGGCGTCCTTTCCTTTGGGTGGCCGATGAGGGTGTTTGCGCACTCCTTTTGGCCGTCGCTGATTGGCTTTCGTGTTCTTGGCCGAAGAGCCCATCATGATTAACCGTTGGCGGAGGACGATGAGTGTCCTTGCCTTAGGTGGCCAGTTGGCCGTTGCTGATGACGTTATGTGCCTTTGGCCGACGAGGCGCAGTGTGATACATGGCCGATGTGGCCATGCTTTGTGGTTACATTTGTGTTTGCATTTTTCCTTTTGTTTTGTTGAGGCCGGTGTAGTCCCCCAGTCCCCCACTGCTTCAGGCCGAAGAGAGTGAGGGGTGAAGGAGTTGCTTGAGTCCCTGGCCGAAGCGGCCTCTCCGTAGTCCCTCTGAATCCAACCCTCATGGCGATTTTCTGGCCAAGGTAACCCTGTGGGAGAACCCTTGTGCGCAGATCGCTTGTAGAGAGTTATCATCAAGGGTCGTTACGAGGAGCCGGTGGGCGTTCATGACATTCCTGGCCGTTGTCATCTCCTTATTGTTGGCATTTGTGAACTTGGCAAGTAAATAGGCCGTTGTGGGCGTTTGCTGGCACTTGTGAAGTCGGCCAGTGTGTAGGCCGTAGAGTCTGATTCGCTATTGGGCTCTTGATATGTAGCTTGGCCCGTTGGTGACGTGGTGGCCTCCCATTGGTGGCCGTTGATGTGACCATTGGGAGGGTGCCACGTGTAGTGACCGTTGGGTGGGGGGGTCTATAAATACCCCTCCCCTTCCGATGAGAAAATTCATTTGCATTCTGAGTTGTCGAAGTGCTGGCCAAATTTCTAGAGAGATAAACTCCCAAGCTTGTTCTTCGTGTTCTTCGTGTTCAAGGTTAGTGTTCATCGCCATCTTCTGTACTTTGCATACTTTGCTTCCTAGGCTAGTGATCTAGTGTTAGGCGCTTGAACACCCTTAGATCCTAAGTTACTCCCCTTAGGCTCGTAGTAGTTGTTATGATGAAGAGCTTGAACGAAGACTACTATCCGTACGACGACCAGCCCTCCTCTAGGTCACTCGACTATGAGGTGCTCGAGGAGTTCGAGGAGGAGATACAACACTTAAGTCCTTACAAGTCCGGAGAGCCGGTGGACGACGAAGTGAAGGACGAGGAGTCCGCCTCGTCTTCAAAAGGTGAGGACGCAGGTGCGTCCCGAGTGGTGGACGGGGCGTCCACTTCCGCTGTCATTCCATGCCCGAGACCGGTGTCTGCCGTGAAGGGAGCAGATAAGCCGAAGAGAGTAAGGAGGCCGAAGAGTGGGCCGGGCATCTCCTACTTGGATCTCACAAACATCTTCTTGATCAAGCCGGAGAGCAGCGCAGCCGACTACCTGGTTGCCCAGATGTACGTGGGGCCGTTCGGGCGGGTTAGGGCACCCAGGCCGACGGACCATGTTCTTCTTCCGCCACCGGGATACTTTGGAGTATACCCGATGAGTTTTGCCAAGGGGCTGAGGTTTCCCCTTCATCCCTTCATCACCGAATATCTTGACATGGTGGGGCTCCCTCCGGCCTTGCTGACGCCGAACAGCTACTCGCTGATGGTGGGGTTCTTGCTCCGCTATGAGGAGCTGGGCTACAGGCCGACGACGGCTCTGTTCATGAACCTGTATCAGATCGGCCGAGGAAGTCACAAAAACTGTGCGGCCTATGCTACTCTTCAACAGCTGCCGAAGAAGAGGAGCTTCACGAACTTGCCTTCGTCCATTCATGGGTGGAAGAGCAAGTTCGTTTTTGTATCCCTTGGTGAGAATGGCACCGAGTTTCCCTCTCTCGGCCATACCGGGAAGTTCAATCTGCATGACCCGCCGAAGAGTTCTATCTTGGACGCTCAGGTGGAGGCTTTCTTGGAAGGGGGGCCGAGGAGCGTGAAGGATTATATCACTGAATACAAGATGACCGCCCTCGGCTTCTTAAGATACCATGTATACAGCGATAAGGAGGACGATATCCAACTCTGGCCGAGGATGACAACCACCTTTGAAGAGGCCGACGGCCCGGATTTGGGCATTCTTGCTGAGGCCGATGGTA